ACATTTAAATTTATGTGTATACTTGTGATGTGAACCAATTTTAGAACCAACTTTATCTTTTGAAATTCATTATTGCGTTATGATGTTGGGGGCATTTGTTGGTTTTTGCAAATGTGAGCTTATTCTTGATTTATTCATATGAATTAAATTTAAAAGAAAATAGAGATGTGAACCAAATTGAATAGAAATTGATGATGTTTAGAAAGATGGTCGATCTTGGAACTTTTGGAACTTTTACATTGGATTACCCGGTATTCGAATTCTGAATCCGTCACAGATGCTACGTTATATCTTATATATGGTGTTGTATGGATAACTATGGCTTGCCACCGGTTGTTCTATATTTTTTATTCTTTTATTAAGTAAGCCTAATCCAATTCGCTAGAGTTTAATTCCATTTAAAAAATATTTTTATTTATTTCATATAAAATAATATATTAATTAATTTTGGATATAGTATAATGATGGGCTTATCATATGATGGGGAAGAAAGAGTAATGTGGATGATATCTCTGAAAATTATATGTTGATCGCATAATTAGTTGAGTATGCATTTGCATCGAGATTCGATGTTGCAACTCTAAGGTCATTTACTCATTTTTCACATATGCATATAAGCTTCGCATTTAATCTATATTCCAACTCGTACTTCACGTAGCATATTTGGATTCGATTTCTGACGTTGGTGAATTACATGATGATGGCCATGAGAGGCTAAAATTTCTCTGTGAGTCTTATTGTCCCTCGAAGTTGTGGACTGCCGTGGCATAACCACCAACTAGTCCTCTGACGTTGGTGGATCACACGAAGGTAACCAGAGGAGGCTGAAATGCCCTTTACTGTGACGAAGCTACCAACTGATCATCTTTTAGAAAAAAAATGGTCATCAATATGCTCATTTACTCCTATTTGATTTAAGAAATGTTTTTACTTCATGATTTTATTATTTTTCATTTTTTGGGTCGAAACTTTCTTCACGATTGACTCTCAATACAAACAATATTGGAAAAGCCCACTGAGCATAAAACTTGGGTCTGCTTTTGGGTGTTCTTTTGGGTCTTGGATCTGATAACCCAACTCTCTTTTGTTTAAGTAGGAAAAAGAAACGGGCTTTTGAGAATAGAGATGATAAGTGGCTTTGCAGTGCACCTTTCAATTTCATTAAGACAACGAAGGGAGAAGTTAAACTTGGAAAGCTAAAGCATATATATATATATATATTTTTTTTTTTTTTTTTTTGAGAAAGAGCTAAAGCTAGTTTATGAATTTTGAAAAGGCTATATATATTTTAGCAGTTTCAGCCGGTTGTTGTATTTACGCTTTATTTTTTTATTACGTTCGAGCATAAATAGTAACAAATAGTGCTAAAGTGGTTGTAGCTCTATATTTACACCGGAGATGCTCGTGCCTTTCATCAAAATAAATTGATTTCCCATCTCGTCATGTTCGAAATTGATCATTCAACTCGAACTATTCGGGCCAAATTGGTTGATTGGTCTGGTTTAATGGAAGTTTTGTCCTCCCCTGACCCTAGGTACAAGTGACACCACTTCATTCAACGTGGGAAAAAAACTGTTCATGGAAAATTCCAAAGGGTCAACTTCAATTTTATGTCCATTTGTGTTAGTTTTCTAATTTCAGTTACCTAACAGATGGATATGATATACTGATATATACAAATAAGTTATTGCTTGGACTAGTTCACTATTTTGAAGTTTCTCATACCATTAACAGAGATTGTTATACATTTTATCAATTGATTTTCCTCATTAGTCTAGAACATAAAATAAAGGGTGTATTCTGATAGGATTTTGAGGGATTTTAATTTTTTTTTTCTATAGAAAAATTAAAGAAAAAATAAAAATACTTCAATGAGGGTTTATTGATATCTTTAAATGTGATTGTATATATGGTGTGTTATGTAAGTTGTACCTTGTGTGTGTATTTTTTTTTTTTTTTGAACAAACGATATCTAAACTAAGGGGGTGGAGTAGTTGGCTAAGCCTCACAATGGGCTAGCAATAATGTGGTTCAAATTCGCCTAAGACCTTTCACTTACAAGTGAAGAAGAATACCACTAGACCGTAGTACTAAGTAGCAAGCCGTACCTTGTTATGCAAGATGAATGTCCATAATCTAGTGTGAATTCTTGATTTGTATCGATTTTGTAAAATATAAAATAAAATGATAAACACACACCCTTTTTAGTTTCTCACACATTTCTGTTTAATCATGTTCATGTTGTAAACATTCATACTTTAAGTGTAATTATGTAAATCCTAGATTAGATTTTATTCTAGTTATCCTTTCCTAATGTATCTTGTATTCCTTGGGGATGAAGGAATATCTTCTCTCCTTTTACTACTATAAATAAAGGCACAATGTAGGAGGGATAACAACATATATTCCCCTACAATTCTACAAACACATCTCTCTCACTCTCTCTTCCCCTTGCCGCCGGCCACCCTAACCTTGTCAGATAAAATAGGCCACAACAGTTCATTGTTTCTTTTTTATTTATTCATTTTGATTGTCATAAATAAGAAGTTTAATTAGAAGCAATGATTTATTCGTGGATTTTTTAGCCTCCGCCGCCGGCCTCTAGCTAAGGCTGGGGGTCGGTAGGCAACCTGCCCCTCATCTCTTTCTTCTCCTAGCCTTTCTCTCCTAGCCATCATGTTTTTGCCCTCCACCTTTCTCCCTTCCCGTGTTCTCCCTTTCGCCCAACCTTCAGATCCATACCTTGCCCTCTTATGTCTCTTTGTTTGGGTCTGAATCGGTGTTAGTGTTTGGTTTTTGGGTTGTTGGCAGTAGGTGCCATCTCTACCTTTCCCTCTTGGTGCCAGGAGATCCGCTTCGATTTTGCCAGCAAGTTTTCGGGGGTTCATCCGCGCACAGTCTGAGTCGACCTGGTTGGAGGCCCACAGTTTGTGGTTTCCAGTTCTGGTTGTGGCCCCATTTGGCTAGTACGGCTTGGTTTTGGTGTGTGGATGCCGACATCCCACTGGCCGGGTATGCCGAATTGTGGTTCCCTTCTTGGTTTTTTTCCCTTTGTTTCGCTTTAGGCGAGTTTTTGCAATTTCAGTTTAATTTATTTTTCATTGTTTAGTCTTGGTATTCCTAGGAAAATTGCTCTCTAGGGTTCCTAGGTCTCCTTAGGTTCTCTAGGAAAGCACCTGTCTGAAGATTGTATGCGGTGTTTGGCGTCGAGTTACCTCCAATTTGTTGGTGACATTTTCAGCTGGTGGTTCAGGTTGGTTTTGCAGCGTGTGGAAACGACTATGGAAGCCATGGTCGCATGCTTTGCCGCACGGTTGACGCTCACAACACATCAATGGTTATACGCTACATGTTTGGTGGGTGGAAGATTCCCCTAATTTGCTTAGGGATTTCTTGTAATTTGTTTCTGTATTGAGATTTGGGGATAGTTACTTTCGTCGTGTGGGACACTCTTTTTCCTTGGACCAAGTTCTCCGACAAGGTTTTATCGAGACCCAATATGCACACTATCCTCAGTTTGTTGTCAATTTGTCCTTGTATTGCTTTGTTTGCAATGAATATCAAATATCATATTTCTCTCAAAAAAATTTGATTGTCATAAATAAACTATTATGAAAAACTAAAATGAGTGTGAAATCAACTCCTGTCTATCAATCTTATCCCTTTAGTCTCAAGCAAAATGTTTAGTTTGAATTCTTTGACTTCTGCATTGTAACCAAAAAATTGGTTTAAAATCTTTGTTTGACAAACCTATGATTCTATTCAAGATACCCTGCAATCTTTAAAGTTTTCCTCTATTATAGTGGACCTGAAAATGACGATGTTTCAAAAACAGTTGATAGCACAACTTAATTAGTCGTAACACCATCCCATGAAATGAAAGCTTAGTTGAGAAGTATAACTAACCAAGTTGTCCCGCGTGTGAAGCTCAACGGCTACATATGCTCTACATCACTCCCACTACTAGAATTATGCTTATAGGACACCATTTTTTGCACACCATTTGCAATTGGTGGCCATAGATATAAAGCACTCACTCTTACTATTTTTTGGTGTCTTTACAATGGGATTCCACTGATATAGGCGGCCTTCAACATTGAGACACCAATGATTGGTGGCTGTTAAATAGCTTTATTTCTTAATAAAATAATTTCTTGTGCATTTGTGATTAAATGGGTCACCAATAGAATTTATTGGGCACCAATAAAACAAATAAAAAAACAATTCACTTCTCTCCCCTTCACAAAAGTCCAACTCCTCCTCTTCATTCTCTCCGCTCGCTTCCCTCTTCATTCTCTCTTTCTTCCCTCTCGTATCCTCTTTCTCCCTCTTCTTTTTCATACAGCAGCGCCTCCGTCCTCCGGTCACCAATGACCATCAAATTATACCTCCAGAATCCTCTTCCCTTCCTCTTTCCAACCCTCAAGTTAGTTTTTACAAATTCGTAACCGAATTTTCTGAATTTCAAATCTAAGAAACGGTGACCGTGGGTTTTCCGGCCAATTTTCAGCATAGCCTGCCGGAATTGGACCTCAATCCAAGATGTAAAAATGATCATCTCCTCGTGGCTGTTCCCTACTGTAAGTGATTTCTCAAAATAAAAACTTTTAGTTTTTGGATCGATTCTAGATTTCAAATTTGAATTCCATTTTCTCTATGCATGTCAAAGATTGGGGATGAAGAAGGTTAACCTAAGTTGTTTTCAACCTAGGCCGAGAAGAACGGAAGCCTTGGAATGTTGTGGGTGAAACTAAGGCAAGGTTCTTCTAAAAAAAACTAAGGTGAACAAGGTGATTTTCTCCTTAACCACAAGGTAACTGATATTACAGTTAATGTTAAAGCTCCCAATCTTGAATCTTTTAGATCAGTAAGTTCTAGTTATTCTTTTTTTTTTTTTTTATCTATAACAATATTGCTTCTTTTGCAGCACTTAGAAATATCATTTTCTTCACACTGTCATAATAATAGTTTTCACTAACTATTGGCATTTCTTTTTGCAGTTCCAATTTAAGTTGTTGCTTCTTTTAGAAAAATGAAAAAGCTCGTCTGAAACAATTTGTCTTAAGGGAGTCTTCCCTCCTTGTCATGTTCTAAGTTTGTTCTCTTTTATAGAATTAAGTGCAAGTTGAATGGCAAATATGCTAAAGATAAGCATAAATCTCTTTCTTGTAGGTTGTGAGTTCGAATGGGAAGGTGTAACGGATTCATTCCCTTCCATTAATTGAAAACAGGGATCCAAAGGTACCCTTTCAATCTTGATTTTAATTTTGTAAGTTTTTGTTCTTAATTTTTTTAAGTATTATTTTTCGAAAAACTTCAAGCATCTAATTTGTGCATTATAGTGCACTGTTTTGCTAGAGAACCTACATGAGGATCACTAAGTGGAGAACCTTAAGAGTATACTTGGTGAAGTTGGAAAGTATGTTCTTTTCCTTCTTTTTCTCCCCATTCTATGACATTACTGTTCTCTTCAGTTTTGGTTATAGCATGGTTTTCAATCTTCCAGTTAAGAGTATACATATCAAGTTGTATTTCATACGATAAAAGTGTAACATTTGTGTCTTTCTATCTCAATCTCGCTCTCAATTGCTTTTAATTTTGGGCGATTATACAATAGCTTGTGAAGCAAAAAAAACCTGAGCATGATAAAATTACTTAACAAATTTATCTTATTACTTAGTTTTTAGAGCCACCAAGTCTATCAATATTCACCAAGTCCATCTCTATTTCCAGTGCCTAGTTTCCAAAGGCGAAGTTGAGCCAGGTTGGGAACTCTCTCTTTCTCTCTTTACCTTTTGTTTTATTTCTCAAGGAAGTTGATTGGATTGAACAAAAAGGAATAAAAACAAATGAAAACAAATTGAAATTTGTTGGTGCTTGTGTTGATGTTGAATTTGTAATATACTAAGACCCAAAAATTAGATAAATGGTTCACTTTGATGTAAATTGATAACATCAAGCCACTAGTTCAAAACAGTGAGTCTTACCCTTAGAATGTTTTTGTGATGTCATAATTGATAACCATATCCACTGATTGAAAATTTATCTACTCACAAGTATATCACTTGTGAAATGTTGAGACTCATGAATTTATCTGTTGAAAAGATCTACTTGCCACATCAGTTTTTCGTGTGGAATGTTAAAGATTCATACTTGCAAGTATATGCTTTTTATGCATGTTGTAGGAAACAATAAAATTGTAAAGGCATACTTTTGTGTGTATTTTAGTCATTTGATCCATGTGCTTATGTGTTTGCAAGTAGAGATTGCAATTACTGAGCTCAAGCATTACGAGGAGCATGTCACTCTTAAAAAACATGTTTGGAGGTGTTCAAGAGAATGTGAAGTCTTTTAAGTGGCAATTTCCTTCAAATTTTGTGCCTGTTTCATACTTTTGACGGATAGTTTCATATTTTTTAGTATAGCTCATTAGTTTTAGACCTAATTTTTTTGAATATGTGATTAGTTATGGAAGACTACAGCAAAACTGCAATTCTATGTAGTCTATTAACTATATATATATTTGGGTGCCCATATTAATGGACCTTAAAAAAAACATATTGCAACATGGCCACCGATGTATAAAAATTATATAATATTTCAAAGGTATAACTATTCATTGTGCCACCGTTATCTAATTGGTGGTGTTTGTAACAATAGAGTCCTCTACATAGGACACCATCTCTAATTTAGTGGCTGCTTGGTGGCCATTTAGGTTTGCCACCAATGAAAGTATCCACAATTGACAATAGATACCAATGAAAATGGTGTCTTTTAGCCAAATTTCTAGTAGTGTCAGTTGTGTTGCACACGTGTTAGGTTTAAAAATTCGCCATACGTAAGATGACATGTTGAGAAGAATTTCACATTAATTGAAGAAATGATATTTCATGAGCTTATAAGTAAACTAAATTACTCTCTATATTTTTAAGTAATTTTATGGTGAAACTAAGCCCAATTTTTTTATGTCTCATGGAATGACGGCCAAATCCCAACGACGCCCACCAGCCATACGATGTTTGCTAATCAACATAATTTGCAATAACGTCGGGGATCTCGACACTTTATCACCTTAACCCTTTTTTTGGGTCTGAACACTTGTCACCTTTAACTACTGAGGTGAGAAAAGAAGGCTCAAAAGCCTCAAATGACTGCAAAACTCAGAGAGTGGCTACCTATGCGCATGCACACCGCAGAAAAGGTGTAACCACAAGACTCAAAAAGCTAGAGAATGAGAATAGAAAGGAGAGTTTTAGATGTACAACTTTCGGGTTACGGACGCAACGTAGCCACTTCTTTATCTTTATCTTTTACTCGTGTCTATATCACTTTTCTCTCTTTGCATGGGAGAAGAGGAAGAGAGATAGTGTTAGTGTAGGAAAATCCTTTTAGGATTCTCATAGGCTAGATTTTGTAAATACATGTGGGCTCGGGATTACTTGTACTCCAAGTCAATTGACTTGTACACACACACGTGTACATATAGAAACATGAATGCATTTGCACTCGTGACAATGAAGCATATTTTGTCTTTATAACGAGAGAGATAAAGACAAATATTGGTGCATTGTTGATGCTCTCTCCTTTTGGGGTCTTTATTCATTAATTATATGTATATATATGCACATTTCACATTGCAACATTCTCTTCAGTAGCAGTTGTTTTGGCAATGCATTTTTCAAACGATGTGGATAAGACTTGTACAAATTTTGACTCTTTCTGTATCTTTTTAGTTTGAGTTTGTCAATCTTTCCTTTCTTTAATCACTAAATATTAGCAACTAAATGTGGATTTGAATATTAATGCGTTCGATCATTCTTCTCTATCAGTCTCCAACTTCAAATATTGGTGCAATCTGACCTCTTAAAATCGAATACGTACACACCTAATACCACCATATGGGCGCCAATGGGAAATGATGTAGATTGATCTGATTAAACCCATCATAATCTATAGTGATAAAGATTCTTCTTTTTACGATCAAGATTTAATAGATGGTGCCACATGAAATCTATAATTTCTTGAGCAAATAATTAAAATATTGAGATGATGAGTTATAAATAGAACTACAGGTTATGTGTGTCATAGCTAGGGTTTCATCGTGCACATAAAAATGAGCCACGATAGATGAACACACCTCATAATTCGCACGGTCATTTCTCTTTTCTCATGATGCTCAAGGATTTTTTGGGTATAACAATTTTAATTAACCACATTTTCGTTTCCATTTCTCTATTACACCGTGTAAGAATTAGCATATTCAATTAAAAAACAACTGACAATGAAGACAAAGACTAATGTTCTAAACACGGAAAATTCTCAACAAAGATGACTCGAGTGTATACCATCCTTACCTTTTTCCACTAGTCAACTACATAATTGCAACTTATCTACCACTAAATCCATTATTATCTTCTCTTCTTCTTTTTTTTCCACTGGTTGTTGGGTGCGACAAAGTTTACCACGTACAAATTGCTAGTACAGAAGAATTATTGTCATCATAGTGAAAAATACAATTTGAAGGATTAGCATTGACTTAGGGAACTCATTATTTTAAGTAGCTCTGGGGTTTTGTTAATTAATTTGATTCCCCTACATTAAGGTACTAATTTGGGTCAAAAAAACAGACTTTGTTCCCGCTCCAGCATAGAAAATAATGGCATGTTGGGTGAGACATAGATATGTTGTCTCTAGAGGGAAAAAAGACATCCAATAGAACATCGAATTGGTTGCCGACAGGTGACAATCTTTGGTTGGTTTGCTTCTGTTGCTTAGCTGAGAATTTTTGTTAGGGTTCATCATCAGCTCACGTGGGGTGCACATGAGTTGAATTATGCGTCCAAAAACGCGTTTAATTTGGGGGATCAAAGCCATGATTACCATTTTTACTAATTACTATCAATGAGGGAATAACACATTGACACGCGGCAACGACCCACAACCATGGGGGTCCCCTTTCTGTGGATGAAATTCTTCTGCATCATGGTCAAGTGTAGAAGATGTGACTTTTTAACAAACATATGGGGAGACAGTAATAACTAATATGAACAACACCTAGTGAATTATTGGCTGTGTGTCACAGTTTGGGACAGTAAAATGTAAATATGTGATTGATCCATACTAATCATTGATTATAAGGAAAACTAATGAAAAAGACTTTAAAACTTTGAGTTTTAACGATAGGAACAAAATAAAGGGTCAAATTAATAGTACCAAAATTGACTTTTTAATGTAAAAATGTGATTTTTCATTAAAATAAACAGTATCAGAAACTTTTCGTTAAAGTTCCCTTGATTATAGTGATAGAGGATGCAAAATGTGTTTGAAGGATTTTTTTAGAGTAATGGTAGGTCGATCAACTTTTTAGATTAAATGTGTAAATCATGTGATGTGTTATCAATATCTTAATAGGAAATAAACAGGTTAATCAACACTTAAGTAATAATTCAATCATTAACAACCACATCATATAGTTTATAAAATTTGATCTAAATAGTTTGTCTCCCTAGCATTATCCTTTTTTTTTAACATGTTATGATTTAGAGGTAGGATAGCATCATAGCAACATTTTCTTTCTACTTTTTCGATTCTCTTCTCATTCTATAATGTTGTGTGATGATTCGAACAATTTTATTTTTTATCACTCTTAAAAATCAGTCAAATCTGAAATTGTTTACCCATCTAACAGTTACACCATGTTATTCACTTAAGCACTTAAATTTAACAACGTTAATCAAACGACTAAACAATTTCTTAACTTTATCTTGATTGTCATGCAACATTGCAGCACAAAAAAGAAAACCGAGAAAGTAAAACAAGAAAGCCTAACTGAGAAGGCCCTAGCATCAAGAAAAACTCAAGAATAGTGGGGTCAAATTGCATATTACTCAACGATTGCCTTTATTAGTAAGAAGATTTGATCAGTTATTTGCAGCAACCTAACACATATATACATATCACAATATTGTTAGTTTGATGCATCAAGTTTCATTTCATTTGAATCTGTATTGGAAAGCCATAATATATAGGACCACATTGCCCAATGGAGGCTATTTAGAAAGTAGGAACAGATCTGATGCTGAAATGCTGTCTATTCTCAAGGATTTTTCTAGAGAGTCAAATTGCATTAGAGACATGACAATAATCTTGGTGCAGATGCTACAAAATCATTCCTCTCCATGAACAACTTAGATACCAATTTCCCATCTCCACGTAATTACATTTACCACTAATGAGTGCAGATAAATGTATAATTTTGAATTAATTTATGTTCAAAAGAACAAAGTTCCCAACTTAAAAAGTAATTCCAAAATTCTAATTCCATCAGTTGATTAAATATGTTATTGCAGTAAAGAACTTGTAATTCAAGTGATTATGAGTATTTATCTATGTACTTGGTGTCGTGCGTTTGATCTCCCCTCCTTTTTTATTCTTCAAGAACAACAAAAAAGACATGTTGCTGAATATATAATGACCCAAGTTGTAACATCCCACATCGCCCAAGGGAGTGGATCCTCCAAGCCTTATATGTATATTCCCATCTCTACCTAGCATGAGGCCTTTTGGGAGCTCACTGGCTTCGGGTTCCATCG